GTTGGTCTGACAGGACCTGCCTCTAATGAACCCATGTGGGTTGCCCCTAAGCATAATCTCCCCTGCTGGCCCCTCGTGGACATGTGCCAGGATAATTCTCTCAAAAACCTTACCCAGGATCAAGGTAAGACTAACTGGCCTATAGTTTCCCGGGTCCTCCTTCCTCCCTTTTTTGTTGTAGCAAGGCAACCAGGTTGCTAAAGGACACATATGAGGAATTTTATGCTAAGTGGATAAGTCCTCCATTTTCTCTGACTATTCTCTCATTTGGTGGGGTTGCCCGTTTCCATGCTCTATCACACAGGTAACTGCTAAGATGAGGTGGATGCACAGAAATCTACAGTAATATATGGCTGGAAGCTTGAAAAATACCTCATGAATTTACATACCCCAGATTATGCAAAAGGAAAGTATAGGGTGAAAGGGGGACCAACAAGTTAATTACTGTGTGAATATTTTTTCTTACAGATATTCAGAAACCCTGTATAATGGAGCAATTGTGCCACATAGGCATAAAGGTACTTTTCTGCATACAGCATTGCAACATAGCTCAAGAGTATGACATGGGTATTTTCTTAAGTCTGCATGGAGTGAGATACATTTGGTGCAGCAATTTGATTAAGATGTCTCTTGCTGCAAAAGAGGAGGAGGCAGAATATTGGTATTTGGCCAATATTCTGAGTTCCACTTTTGAGAGTTCTGTACCTAGATCTTTCTCCCAGTTTTTAATGTACTGTATGTAGCTTCTGAGATTTCCTTGATGTAAGGTTCAGCTGAGGCCTGAGGGATGGACTCAGAGGGGGTGAAGCAGCGCAGTCGCATCCTTCCCCTTGGCTGCGTACTGCATGCGCAGTGAGCTGGCATGTAAGCAGAGCTCCTGCTGGGAGTGACGCTCAGCCCCTGCCTCCACGCAGCTCTGGAGCCCAGAGACTGTGCACAACCACCTTTCCCCTGTGCACTACTACCTTTCCACTCCTTTCCCCGGTTGCTGAATTTGGGATGGGGAAGGAGAGAGAAGAGCAAAAAGCAGCAGCACTCATCTCTTGTACTCCAGAGCTACTTGAAAGCAGGGACTCCGGGCAGACCCTACACTAAACAGCCAGTGAGCTCATAGAGCTTGTGGCATATGCAGAGATCCCAGCAGCTGACATGCTGGCGAGCTCAGAGAGCTCACTGGCATCAACAGGTCACGGCCACACCCCGTTTGCCTATGTGGCGCACACAATGCGCTCTTGTTCTCCTCACTGCACATATGCCACTTTGCTGGAGGGGTCGTGGCCACACTTCTATTGCTGTGATCCTAAATATGCCCAGGATTGAGGAATACTACAAAAGCTTGTTTAAAGGTTCAGATTGGTTATTTTGTAACATTTGGGTCAAATTTAAGTAAGTCTTGTACATTCATCCCCTGCTAGTACGAACACAGTATATACAAAACTATGCTCATTCCCTAGGCTTGCTGCAGCCTAATGTTAATATAACATAAAAGCCACAATACATTAAACTTGAGTCTGAAATTAGAGTAACTATCACTGATAAACAATCAACAGTTTCTGAAAGAGGGAAGCTGACATAACTTGTTAAGACACAATTCTGGAACTGCTGATAAGTATAGCATTTACTGCCATACTTCCTTGGGTCTGTTCCCACTATCATTGTCCTCGGTAGCTAGTGTATGTTGAACCAGGCCCTTCATTTGAACCTAAAATGTAAATCTGAGACAGAAAAAGGCACTGGGTGAAATTCCAGCTGCACTATAGCCATTGGCAAGATTCCCATTGACTTCACAGATGCCAGGGTTTCAAAAAAGGTTTCTATTTGTGAGGTAGACTGGCTGGATCACATGCTGTACATCCAGGACACGTCCCCTGTGCAGTATAGAGCTCTTCACATCCAGATCTTCAACGGCCCTCCTGTCTATACTAGTCTCTCATATACCTAATAAATGGACTTGTAATTTTGCCTGGCTGGGCAAAATTGTGCCTGGCAAACAATAGCAGAGACCACTTACCAGACAGGTCAGAAGATCTATCTGCCCCTCTTTGTCTAGCTCTGCTTGAGTCTAGACTGAGTTTCTCCTTTGTGCTGTCTCACAGTAGTATCCAAACACCCCTCTTACCATACTTGAAGAATAATAGAAGTGCCCATTGTTGTGTATTCTAGTTGTTGCTATGAGAGGGCTCACCTGAAGGACTGTATTTCCAGGCCATAAAAGTATCAAATACAACAGGAATAGTCCTACTTCATTCAAAATGTTAATCCTATGGGAAACATACCAGCAAAAAATCTCCCATGTGGATCCACTTTCCCATCATTGAACCTGTTGTTTGTTTTATCCTGTTCAAGTTCAACAATAGTAGTCACAGACTGGTCTTCCCAGTTTAGAAAGGCAAACCGGGTTCCAAGAGCAATTACATAACCTCCACGTTCTCGAAGGGCCACTGACCCAACACGAGCATCTGTAAAAACACAAGCAAAATAATGGTCGTAGAAAGTCAGCAAGTGTTGGAGCATAGGATAATAGGATCATAGGAAAGCAGGGCTAGAACAGACCTCGCAGCATCATTTAGTCCAAGGCAGTATTATCCCTGACTAAAACATCCCAGCCAAGTGTCTGTCTAACCTGCTCGTGAAAATTTTCAGGGACAGAGATTCTACAACTTCTCTCTAAGTAGCCTGTTCCAATGCTTAACCACCCTCATAGTTCCTCCAAATCTCCAACCTAAATTTCCTCTGCTGTAGTTTGAGGCCACTGTACCTAATCCTGTCCTCTATGCAGGGCTGTCCTGCAGGGGGGAGCAAATCAGGGCCCCGTGCTTTGGGGACCGCTGCGAACAATGCTATACAGGCCCTGCTGTGGCTGCCACACACCACTGGCTCCATGCTCCAGCCGCTCACCACGAGCCACCAGCTGCATGCTCCGGGCACTCTCTCACCTCTCTCCCCTCCTCCTCCACCCTCCGATCCAACCACTCACTACCCCCTGGCCCTGCACAGGCTGATATGCCCTGCACACCCCTAGTGATGGCTCTGCCTCTATGGCCACAGAGAAAAGTCCATCTCCATCCTCTCTATTATCACCCTTCAGGTGTTTGAAGACTGCTATCAAAATCCCCCTTCAGCCTACTCTTGTGCAGATGAAATAACCCTGGTTCTTTCAGCCTTTCCTCATAAGTCTTGCTCCCCAGGCCCCTAATCATTTTTGTCACTCTGTGCTGAAATCTTTCCACTCTGTCCATGTTCTACCTGAAGCATGGGGCCCAAAAATGGACACAATGAGGCCTCACCAGTCCTGAATAGAGTGAAAGAATCACTTCCCTTGAGATGTTCCTGTTAATACAACCCAGTATACTGTTGGCCTTTTCTTTTTTTGCAACAAGACTGTATTAGCTCCTTTGAGCTACAGCCATAGAATCACAGAAAAGCCAGGCTGGAAGGAATCTCAGGAGGTCATTTAGTCTAGGGATTATCCCTGTCTAGAACATCTTACACAAGTGTTTGTCTAACTTTTCTTAAAAACTTTGGGAACAAACCTCAGCCTTATCTCAGCCTTACCTCACCATCTAAGCTTTCTAAGGTCATGGTTGAAACAAATATCTGGATGGAGGACAAGAGGCTGAAGCCAGCAAAGAGTAAGACAATGCTAAATTAGGCAAAGGAGACACTTTGAAGAAATTGCCAATATCAGATTCACCCAAAGAACCATGTCTGCCTATGTCCTTAGACCAACATGGCTACAATCTACACCCCTGCAACTTTATCTTATCACTTTCTACTGATATCATTAACACAGTCAGTAGGCTCAGTGTTCTCACAGCTTTGGATCATTCCAACAAATGTAACTAATTCTATCTCTTGAGTGTAGAAAAACCACACCCCTTCATGTTGGTTTTGTATTTACCTAAAGAAATACTGACAAATATATCTAATAATAAAACCTCTGTCTTGTTGGCTTGAGCTATACTATACTGACCAATTAACTACAAGGGTACAGTTCACTTGTCTCCCTTCAGTGAAGGAAAATGCAATGCTACAGAAAAGCAGACAGATCCACTCATAGCAGAAAGAAATTAAAAAAGCATTAACATAGCAAAGAGGTTTTACGATCCAGAAGAGCGCCATCTTACCCACAGACACACTCTGCACTTCATTGGTGATTGTATTCCAGCGGCAAACTTTTTGTGCATTAATATCCACATATACAAGTGCATTTTCCCTCTCTTCCCATACGGGGCACTCTCCCATCCTGTTCTTGTCCTTCACAACAGACTCAATCTTAATGGAAGACATGGTCTGAAGGTTGAAGAGCAAAACATCAGCAACAAAAATAATTCATTTTAACAAAAGATACTGATTTCTATAGACACACTAAATCTAAGGCAAGAATTTACGTAGATCAGTAGACGCCAAAGTATCAGCTGATAATCTGAGGAAGCCAATCCAATCCAATCTACCTATGGTATTTATATGGCTCCCATCACCATCTTTTCTGAGTATTGCACAGTCTTGGACTAGAAGACTGTGACCAGGTTGAAGTAACACAATTTTGTTTTTAGCAAGTGATCCTAAGCTAAAAAACTAGGCCTAAGACCAGGATGGCTTTTTCAAATTTCATATTTGCTAAACAAACTTCTAGGACAAAAGGTGGTAAGAGGGAAAACAGAGAAGAAAAGAAAAAAAAATCAGGGTAGAGTTCCTATTGATTTTCATTCATTTCCCTACACTTATTTTTCAATATTTCCCTAGAGAAACTTACCTCCCCCAATATCAAGATGTGGTTTTAATACCTTTGTAATGTTTCTGTATTTTTATTTTTCAATCAATGTCAGTAATACAATCACAAAAGTATGGGCCTTTGGGGAGAGGGGATTGTTTACAAAAGAATAGATAATATGTACCTCATGCTATCCTAGCTGTGAAAGATACAAGAGGAAGATGAACAATCTCTGGACCTATGTCCGAGAGTGAACCCTTCAATAGATCATAGGAAAGTAGGGCTGGAAGGGACCTCATAAGTTCATCTAGTCCAGCCCCCATAGATGAAGAGATAAGGAGGCTTAGATTTCTCTGTCCAGAGGTGCTTCTTTCAACAAAAACTAGGAGACTGTGGCGTTGACACCTACACAATCAAATGGGTCACTAGTTGGCTGGAGGACCGCACGGTGCCAGAGAGTGATGGTGGATGGGTCGTTTTCGACCTCGAGGGATGTGGGCAGTGGGGTTCCACAGGGCTCGGTCCTCAGGCCCACACTGTTCAACATCTTCATCAGTGACTTGGACGAGGGGGTAAAAAGCACCTCGTCCAAATTCACAGATGACACTAAGTTGTGGGGAGAAGTGGGCACGCTAGAAGGGAGGAATAGGCTGTGATTGGACCTAGACAGGTTACAGGGGTGGGCGGATGAGAACAGGATTTTCAACACTGACAAGTGCAGGGTGCTGCACCTGGGGAGGAAGAACCAGCAGCATACCTACAGGCTGGGAAACTCCCTTCTTATCAGTGCAGAGGCAGAAAAGGATCTTGGAGTCATTATTGATGCCAAAATGAACATGGGCCGGCAGTGTGGGGACACGGTCAGGAAGGCCAACCATACCTTGTCGTGCATCCACAGATGCATCTCGAGCAGGTCCAAGGAGGTGATACTCGCCCTCTATGCGACACTGGTCAGGCCACAGCTGGAGTACTGCGTCCAGTTCTGGGCACTGCACTTCAGGAGGGATGTGGACAACATGGATAGGGTCCAGAGGAGGGCCACTCGCATGATCAGGGGGCAGTGGGGCAGGCCCTACGAGGAGAGGCTACGGGACCTGAACCTGTTCAGCCTCCGCAAGAGAAGGCTGAGGGGGGGATCTAGTGGCCTGCTACAAACTAGTCAGAGGGGACCAGCAGGCACTGGGGGAGTCCCTGTTCCCCCGAGCACTACCAGGAGTGACTAGAAATAACCGTCACAAGCTGGCAGAGGGTAGATTTAGGCTAGATATCAGGAGGCGCTACTTCACTGTCAGGGTGGCTAGGATCTGGTGTGAAGTGGTGCTGGCTCCTCCCTGGGGGTCTTTAAGAGGAGGCTAGATGAACACCTTGCTGGGGTCGTTTGACCCCAGTACTCTTTCCTGCCATGGCAGGGGGTCGGACTTGGTGATCTGCTCAGGTCCCTTCCAACCCTACCAACTATGAAACAACAGGCTTTGTGTAGCTGGGGTACAGGTGCCTGGGAGGTAAGTGGAAAACATTGCTAATGAGAGAGGCAGTAGTTTGAAGATCCATTGATTTCAGTTAGTCTTCACAGGGTGCTTAGGCTGCAACCCAGGAGTAGGAGGGACAGGATTTCTCTACCAACCCCAGTGGCTCTCCTACCAGTAGACAGATTACAGCAGGTTGCAGATCCAAAGTCTCTGAATACACATGAGGCCTGAGACTGTTGCCATTTGGGTAGTGTACAAATCTCGTAACTTGACAGGCATCCTGCTCTTCTAGAAGGCAAAAAGTTGTATTAATGACTCAGCTGGGCTCTTAAGCCATTGGATGGGGAAAGGGTGACTGGTCAAGTAAAAGCGTCTCCATCTTGTGCAGCATCCCCTAATATAACTGTGAAAGAGTGCCAGTGAACAGGAGCTTAGGTTATCCCATGAATAAGAACGAAATCTTAAACATTAGGATAACAGCTAAGACTTAACTTGTGAACTAATGAGGAAAAGTCTGTGAAGGAGGAAGTCACTGGGAGAAAACACACCATTTTAAGAACGCAACGACCCAGTCAGAAAGGCTGACTTCCTAAATCAAGTTGCATGGCACAAAGGAGAAGCTTGAAACTATCCAACTAATAGGGACCTGCTACAGAACAAAGGAAATAATGCAAGAAATCTGTTGAGGTCTTCTTTCTAAAGCTGACCCAGTAAAACTGTCGGCAGCTTTCAGGGATTATTAAAAACTGTGTAATAGCTGATGTTATCTGTGCTGCGAAATTAACAGTTTACATTTTCTGTTCTATCAGCAGTCACATGAATGATGCAGCAGGAGCCAAAGCCGCACAAGATGCTCTGTTTCATACTGTCAGCAGCAGAATAACATGTGATGTGTAAAATCTTTGCTCAGCATTTTTCCGAGTCATTGATGGAAACAGGAAAATCTCAGTGCAGCATTCACCTGGATCAGCCCAGACCTTTTACATTGGGTGGCAAATGAGTAGGGACCTCCCTAAACTGCAGTGAGGGAGAGGTTTTTTTGTGGCCTGATCATGGCATTCAGAGCAAATTTTACAGGCATTTCACGGTGGCCTCACCCTTTGACACTGATTGGCCAAGAGGCCCTGCACCTCAGCACTTTTTAGTGGAGGCCCCAGAGGTGGAGGAAGGACAATGGGGCAGCTGCCATCTTGACTGTTGCCCTTCATGCCACCCCACCCCTTGGTGCTGATTGGTGGAGAGGACTCAGTGGGAGGAAGAAGAATGATGGGGCAGCCACCATATCTGCTGCCGTTCATGCCCCCCCACCAGTTGGAACCTGCCTCTCCAAGCAGCAAGGACTACTGGCTCCCACTGGGGAGCCAGCACTTTATTTTTACTAAGTTTGTTTTTGTTCTTGATTTCATGGATTTTGCCAGTTTTGTGGACAATCCCAGATTTTGCAGTTTCCGTGAAATCTGCAAAACCGCAAATTAAGTAGTTCCATACAAATAAGTATATAGAGTGACAAAGTGAAAGGGAAATGGGAGTTTGGAGTACAAGTGACTGTAGAGATGATCATTAAGGGTCAGAGTCTATCCCTAACTAAACCCCAAACTCCTTGTGGAAAAAATTCTTCTTTCTGTGATATGGGGAAAAACAATTAACTCCTCGCAGGAGAGCTGTGATGCTGACCTTAACTTATGTCTTTTTTATACATTATAATGGCCAAAGACAAGCTTGTTTTAGAAGCACTCTGCCGTGATTAGTGTGGATAGCTTGAATAACAAATTACATATTTTTTTTAGAAACAAGTTTTAGGAATGATTTTCCCTTCCTCCCAATATTTGATTATACTTTTAATAAAGCAAATCCTGACAGTGCCCCATACAGCTTTATCAGCTCCCACCAGATGTAGGTAAAGGTAAAATTTGTGGATTCAGTTTCTAGTCTATGGGGACCAATTGACTAACAAAGTTTGGTGGTGAGATGAACAGAAAAGTACTGTGACTTGGCATGATGCCTGAGAAGGAAGAGGCAACATTAACAAGAGGTGGGGCCAGCTATTCCATGAAAGGGAGAAGGTCCTTCTTTTGTTACCCTGGTAAGCAATCTATCATAGGATCACAGGAAAGCAGGGCTAGAAGGGACCTGAAGGCTAGGGACAGAAGTTACACATAAACTGAATGAAGTGATCAGAAACTAGTCTAAACCTGTAACAGAACAGAAGCTCAGTGCATATAAACCAGTTTCAAAATGGCTGAAACTGGTTTAAGATAAACCTGGTTGAATGTAGTATCAGACTTAACTGATTTAGGTCAAACCAGTTCTTTCCCAGACCCCTCCCTGGTTCAAGTTAAATCACAGTCCCCCAGCATACTTTCCAGCCCTGGGCTGGGCTGTCTGCTCCAGAGAGCAGGGTTGGCCCTTCCCCTTTGCTCTCTAGCTGGAGTAGTTAGGGTTGGCTGATGGGGGTGGGAGGGCAAGTCTGACTGGGAATGCAGCTCAGTCTACAGGGGGGGCGGGGTGCTAAACACCCTTTCCCCTGCTCAAACTTATTGCTGGCTGCAAATGTGGACTACAAATCCCAGAGACACCTGGAAGCAGGAAAAGGAAGTGATGAGCAAACCTGCAGAGTCCTGCTGCTGTAATTCTGGACTGCAAATCCCTGAGACTTTGGGGGCAGAAGGAAGAGGAAATGAACACACAGCCAGAGAGTTACGCTTTAGTGCCCCCGGGCTTCTGGCCTGAGCCACTGCAGGCATGTGGCTGCATTTCCTGAGTCAAAGCTAAATGTCTATTCACTTCTGTTTCAATTTAATTTGTGCAGTTTAGACTAACCTGCAAAGACTGAATCAATTCAGCCTCAGGCTTTTTGACTGTCTCTATCTAGCCCAAGAGGTCATTTAGCCCAGCCCCCTTATTAAAGGGGCAATAATTTTAGAACAAATTACTAATTTCCTGGAAGAATTATTTGGGTGAATATAAATTTAGAACTGAGCAAAAGAGAAATTAAAACACTCTTGGCAATGAAAGTCAGGACAGCTTTAACTTCAAGGACAAATTCCTACAAAGATCATTGTGCGATGATAAGAGGATGAACAAACTAATCTGGGCAAGTCAAGGGTTGC